TTTGTATATGCTTAGTTCTTTATGCTCTTGCTGCTTGTCTAGGGGTGGGTGGCTGAATAACGCTGCATTCCGTGGAAGAGCTGCCACTTTGTTTCCTACAGCACCTGCACAATTTTCCATTCCTTCCCACAGCGCGGAACGGAATCTCTCCCCGCTGCTTGATGCCGCTGTCATTTTGGCTAAAGCAACAGCAGCTCCTTCAGGGCAGAAACTCATGGGTTGCATTGGCACTCCCGATAGCTGATGTTTGACCTTTGTTCTTTTACTCATGTGCCTACTTCTAGTCAAAGCTTTGAGTTCATGTCTGTTGGGATCCTTTGACCACTTAATTATATCATTCGCCTTTTGTTAATGAGTTCTGTTATTTCGTATGTTCTGCTTACAGCCCCTTATCAAATATGTAATTGGTAAATATAATCTCTCATGGTGCTGGTTGTGTTTTAACCCACTTGTTGGTGCCCTTTGAATGAACTGTACTGTGTTGAAGGTGGGGGTTCAGTGCTAGAACACTGTGGAAGTGTACACAAGGCCCTAACTTCACCTCAAACACATACATACACACACCAAAAAGGTTCGAATTGTGGTAACATTTCACTGGCTTTGCTTTGTTGTTTGACTTTAGAAGCCATATGTATTTAATAATAAAAAAGTGATTGGTAATGTAAGTTCAAACCTGCATCCTCTTCTAAGAGTTTTAGAAAGACTTTTATCCCTCATGTTTAGAGATTTGTTCTATTCTTATTTAATTTTTAATGTAGTGTGAAGCATGCATTCCATTTTATTTTTTGTATGTAAGTATCTATTTGCCTCAGCATCATCTGTTGGGGGGAAATATTCTCATTAAAAATTATTGGTACCATGTAGAACTCAACTGACCACGAAACAGAAATTAAACAAAGAAACAATATCTCTGACAGAGGTCATGAATCAAATGGACCTCACAGACATTTACAGAACTTAACACCCAAACACAAAAGAATTTACCTTCTTCTCAGCACCTCATGGAACCTTCTCCAAAATAGACCATATAGTTGGTCACAAAGCAAGCCTCAACAGATACAAGAAGACTGAAATAATCCCTTGTATCCTGTCTGATCACCATGGAATAAAGCTGGACTTCAACAACAACAGAAATAGCAAAAAGCCTACACACACATGGAAACTAAACAACTTATTACTAAATGACAGCTGGGTCAGGGAAGAAATAAAGAAATTAAAGTCTTCCTAGAACTCAATGAAAATGAAGACACAACATACCCAAACTTGTGGGACACAATGAAAGCAGTGCTAAGAGGAAAGTTCATAGCACTAAGTGCCTTCAAGAAGAAATTCGAGACAGCTCATTCAAGCAACTTAATGAGTTGCTTAAAAACCCTAGAAAAAGAAGAAGCAGACACACCAAAAAGGAGTAGATGGCTGGAAATAATCAAACTCAGGGCTGAAATGAATCAATTAGAAACAAATAAAACAATTCAAAGAATCAATGAAACCAAGAGCTGGTTCTTTGAGAAAATCAACAAGATCGACAAACCCTTAGCCAAGCTAACTAAAAGGCAGAGAGACACCACCCAAATCAACAAAATCAGAAATGAAAAGGGGGACATAACTACAGACACTGAGGAAATCCAAACAATCATTAGGACTTACTTCAAAAGTCTATACTCAACAAAATTTGAAAATCTAAATGAAATGGACCATTTTCTTGATCGATTTGACTTACCAAAGCTGAATCAGGACCAGGTAAATCAATTAAATAGTCCTATATCCCCCAAAGAAATAGAAGTAGTCATCAAAAGTCTCCCATCCAAAAAAAGCCCGGACCAGATGGCTTCAGCACAGAATTCTACCAGACCTTCAAAGAAGAGCTAACTAAAACTCTCTTCAAACTATTCCACAAAATAGAAACAGAAGGAACATTACCAAACTCATTCTATGAAGCCGCAGTCACCTTGGCACCTAAACCTCACAAAGACTCAACTAAGAAAGAGAATTTCAGGCCAATCTCCCTTATGAACATTGATGCAAAAATACTTAACAAAATACTTGCAAACCGAATCCAGAACACATCAAAGATATTATCCACTGTGACCAAGTAGGCTTCATCCCAGGTATGCAGGGGTGGTTCAATATATGGAAATCCATCAATGTGATCTACCATATTAACAAACTGAAAGAGAAAAACCACATGATAATCTCCCTAGATGCTGAAAAAGCATTTGACAAAATCCAACATCCATTCATGTTTAAAGTACTGGAGAGATCAGGGATACAAGGCACATATCTAAACATAGTAAAGGCGATATACAGCAAGCCTATAGCCAACATCAAACTGAACGGAGAGAAACTTAAAGCAATCCCACTGAAATCAGAGACAAGACAAGGCTGCCCACTGTCTCCATATCTCTTCAACATAGTGCTGGAAGTCCTTGCTAGAGCAATAAGACAGTTGAAGGAGATCAAGGGGATACAGATGGGAAAGGAAGAAGTCAAATTATCACTATTTGCAGATGATATGATAGTATACATTAGTGAACCCAAAAACTCTACCAGGGAACTCCTACAGCTGATAAACACCTTCAGCAAAGTGGCCGTATACAAAATTAACTCAAAAAAATCAGTAGCACTCCTGTATACAAAAGACAAAAGTGCGGAGAAAGAAATTAGAGAAACACCACCATTCACAATAGCCACAAATGACATAAAGTACCTTGGTGTAACCCTAACCAAGCAAGTCAAAGACTTGTATGAAAAAAATTTCAAGTCTCTGAAGAAAGAATTAGAAGAAGATAACAGAAGATGGAAAGATCTCCTATGCTCATGGCTTGGCAGGATTAACATAGTAAAAATGGCCATCTTACCAAAAGCAATCTACAGATTTAATGCAATTCCCATCAAATTGCCAACACAATTCTTTACAGACCTGGAAAGAAAAATTTTCAACTTTGTATGGAATAACAAGAAACCGAGAATTGCTAAAACAATCCTCTACAATAAAAGATCTTCTGGAGGTATCTCCATCCCTGATCTCAAGCTGTACTATAGAGCAACAGTTATAAAAACTGCATGGTACTGGCATAGAAACAGAATGGTAGATCAATGGAATCGAACAGAAGACCCAGTAATAAACCCACACACTTACGGACACCTGATTTTTGACAAAGATGCCAAAACCATACAATGGAAAAAAGATAGCATCTTCAACAAATGGTGCTGGTCCAACTGGATGTCTACATGTAGAAAAATGAAAATAGATCCATACTTATCACCCTGCACAAAACTGAAGTCCAAGTGGATCAAAGACCTCAACATAAAACCAGACACATTAAATCGGCTAGAAAAAAAAGTGGGGAATACCCTAGAACTCATTGGTACAGGAGAAAACTTCCTGAACAGAACACCAACAGCACAGGCTCTAAGAGCAACAATCAATAAATGGGACCTCATGAAATTGAAAAGCTTCTGTAAAGCAAAGGACACTGTCATCAAAACAAAGCGACTGCCTACAGATTGGGAAAGAATCTTCACCAACCCTTTATCTGACAGAGGACTCATATCCAATATATATAAAGAACTAAACAAGCTGAAAAGCAGTAAACCAAGTGATCCACTTAAAAAATGGGGAACAGAGCTAAAGAGAGAATTCTCTGTAGAGGAATATCGAATGGCAGAGAAGCACTTAAAGAAATGCTCAACTTCATTAGCCATTAGGGAAATGCAAATCAAAACAACCCTGAGATTTCACCTTACACCCATCAGAATGGCCAAGATGAAAAACTCAAGTGACAACACATGTTGGAGAGGTTGTGGAGAAAGGGGAACCCTTCTCCACTGCTGATGGGAATGTAAACTTGTACAACCACTCTGGAAATCAATCTGGCGCTTTCTCAGACAACTAGGAATAGTGCTTCCTCAAGATCCAGCCATACCACTCCTAGGCATATACCCAAAACAGGCTCAAGTACACAGAAAGGACATTTGCTCAACCATGTTTGTAGCAGCTTTATTTGTAATAGCCAGAAGCTGGAAACAGCCCAGATGCCCCTCAACTGAAGAATGGATGCAGAAACTGTGGTACATCTATACTCAGCAATGAAAAATAAGGAAATCATGAAATTTGCAGGTAAATGGTGGGACCTGGAAAGGATCATCCTGAGTGAGTTGTCCCAGAAACAAAAAGACACACACGGTATATACTCACTCATATAAACATACAACATAGAATAAACCCACTAAAATCTGTACATCTAAACAAACTAAGCAAAAGAGAGGACCCTAACTAAAATGTTCAATCCCCATCCTGAAAGGCAAAGAGGATGGACATCAGAAGAAAAAGAAAATAGGAAACAACCTCGGAACCTGCTACAGAGGGCCTCTGAAAGCCAGAAGAAAACAGGAAACAACCTTGGAACCTGCCACAGAGGGCCTCTGAAAGCCTCTGCAGTATAGACTGTCAAAGCAGATGCTGAGCCTGATGGACAACTGATGGACAGAGTGAATGGAATTTTATGTAAGAAGTGGGAAATAGTAAGAGCTGGAGGGGACGGGAACTCCACAAGCAGAGCAACAGAACAAGATAATTTGAACACAGGGAACTTCCCAGAGACTCATACTCCAACCAAGGACTATTTGTGGAGATAACCTAGAACCCCTGCACAGATGTAGCCCATGGCAGTTCAGTGTCCAAGTGGGTTACATAGTAATGGGAAGAGGGACTGCCTCTGACATAATCTGATTGGCCTGCTCTTTGATCACCTCCCCCTGAGGGGGGAGCAGCCTTACCAGGCCACGGTAGAGGACAATGCAGCCACTTTTGATGAGAACTGATAGACTAAGATCAGAAAAGAGAGGAGAACCTCCCCTATCAGTGGACTTGGGGAGGGGCATGCATGCAGAAAGGGGAGGGAGGGTGGGATCGGGAGGGGAGGAGGGAGGGGCTTATGGGGGGATACAAAATGAATAAAGTGTAATTAATAAAAAATTAGAAAAAAAGAATAGTGTATCCCACCCCTAGAAACATTGTGGGTGTGGCTGCTATGTCACATGTGCGTCAGTAGGTGGCAGAGAGGAGAGAGGCTATGTCTATGCTCAGATATTCTGACCTATGAACATGAATGATTAGTAGCCTAACATTCCCTAAAGAGAGAGAGCCTGAGATGACCACCAGTCTTGTGCTGGAAGGCAAGGACAGGGAGCTAGCCTGAGAAAGCCACCATTCCATCACTGTGCAGGCCCTGACGGCTCCCAGGACAGGGAGCAAACCAGAGACTAGCAAACCCATGTGGGGCTGACTGAGGGTCCTGATGAGAGTAAGCCCAAGATAGATGACCTTCAGATAGTGCCACTCTGGCTGGCCAGGAGACATGATGACCAGACTGGCGCCATGAGGCTTGAACAGGGAACTAGCCTGAGATCACCACCTGTCAGGCCCTGGAGGTGGGAGCAGAAGATACCCAAGGTGACCCCTGCCCTGAACCATAATGCTTGAGGCCAAGCACTCCTGAGACGACCCCAGACACTCAGAGACCCCAGGCACCTCAAAGAGGAGCAAGAAAGTGGTGGAGAAATGAAAGAAAAAGAGAAACAGAGGACGTGGGCAGAATGAAGAGAGGCAGAACTGGAGACTCAAAGGTAGTGAGGAATAGCCTGGTGTGAGTAGCCAGCCACTTGGCATGGTTGAGTCCTGTCCTGTGCTGATACTGGGGCCATGTCTGAGTCTGTGGTCCTGAAGCAGCAGGTTTTGGAACCACCAAAGGCCAGGCAGATGTCCTGGTCTGGGCTGCCATTCGAGGACATATTAATGTTTGAGGACTGTACAGAACTGGTCCCATCTGTTCCTGGAACATCTTGGGAGAGCTGTTCCTAGGAGCAGGAGAACTGACCCACACCTAGCCAGCTGCAGTACTCCACATTGCTGGAGTTGCTGCCCTCACCCCAAAGTACAAGCATGGGAGATCTGGCCCTACCACGAATCTCCTGTGGTGGCATGGACAAAAGAGAGACACCCTCCTTCCCCTTTGCCCCTCACCGCCTGTGCCAGGCAGGTGGGAGATGTGGCCCTGGGGTCATAAGAACAGGAAAGTCTCTCACCAGCTGTAGCACTTGAGAAAGTGGACCCTGAACCTCAAATGGGCAACACAGTAGAGATGACCTGGTTGGTAGGGGGAGGAGGGCATAAACATGAGAGAACTGGTACTGCCCCTTGTCCCTGTGGGGTGACATGCAAGGGAGAGATGACACCCCTTGCCACCTATGGCAAGCAGCAAAGCTGCCTCCTTAGTCATCAGAAGGGGGGAGCTGGCCTTGCCCCTCACCTGGGTAACACAGTTGAGCTGACCCTGAATATGGGGGTTGAGGGTGAGCCTCAGCTCAAGGGCATGAGTGTGGGAGAGCTGTTCCCACCTCTTGTCTACTGGGCAGTGATGTAAACAAGGGAGAGATGTCTTCTCTTCTCCCTAATCCCTCAACATCGATGACAGGCAAGAGATCTGGATCCTGTGGTAGACCTGGCCATGCCCCTCACCAGCTACAATACTTGGGACAGCATGGCCTGGGCAGCAGGGTAGAGCTTGCCCTATTATTGGGGATTGCCAGTGAGCCAGTTCTGAGAGTGGGAGAGTCAGCATGGAGACTAGCTCAGATACCTCTTAGGCCCAGATACAGGGTTTTCAGTAGACCCAATCCAATACTCTATCCCATCATTGAACTGCTGGAGAGCATGAAGGGGACTGTCCCACAGATCCAAAACTAAAGGATCTCCGTGATGAAGGGCAGCAGAAGGAGTCCCTGTGAAGTTCCAGTATCGATAAAGTAGCAGAAACCAGAGGTCTCGTACCAGACCAACAAGTCGTTGCAATGAACATTTTCAAACAAAGAAGTGAGAACAAAGGGCATACTATGAAACATACTGGTGATACACTACAGCTTCCACAACAAGATTTGTTGAGGAGGAGGTTTCCAGGGTGAAGGGTGGGTACGAGGGGCGGGGGAGATGAGAATTGGGGTGCCTGGTATGAAATTCACACAGAAGCAAAAAAAAAAAAAATTTAAGTATATTTTCTAAGTTTTTCAAGCATAGGTTTTAAATGTACTTTATTCAGTTGTACTTGTGCCTATTCAAGGTATCATGAGGGTGTTTATTTTATGGATTTGATATATAATTGCCTTAACTAATTCAAATTTTATATAACCCTGGTATTTCTGGAATAAGCCCTACCTCATCTTAGGATGTAAGTCCTTGCATGTTGCTGGAAATGGTTTGCTAGTACCTTCTCAAAGACTTTTGCATCTGTATTTATAAGAGCACAAAAAGAACATTTTCTCGAGATGTTTTATCTGGTTTGGGAATCAGGGTAATGTCTTGGTGGAGTGATTGGGAAGTACCTCCTTCTCATTTGTTTCTTAGAAGAATTTGCAAGGAATTGCTATTAACTCCTGTTGACATGCTTGGTAGAATTCATCAGGGAAGCCACGGAGGCCTCACTCTCTTTATGGATAGTTTTTTAGAATACTAATTCAGTGTCTTTCCACATTTTCATTCTTCTTGAGTCAGGAATTTCTGTCTTTCTTGCAACAAAGGGCGCCAATTTGTTGATGCACAGTGTCCCTCAGATTCTTCTTCCTCCCTTATTTTTTTTCTCTGTGGTTGACAATCATCCCCTCCCCACTTCAGTTTCAGTATCTTCAACCCTGATTCCCTCTGACTTCATCAGTTTGACTAAAGATCAGTCGATAGTGTAGATCTTTTGAGAGAATCAATGTTTGTTTGTTTATTTTAACAACCTTCTTTTGTTTTTCTGTTTTCTGTTCCATTACCCTCAGCCACAACCTTCATCATTCCCTTCACTCTGAGTAGGGTGGCTTCACTTTCTCTTCACTTTCCCCATATTTTAAAGAGAAAGTTTGGGTTATTGATCTGAGATTCTTCTTCTTTTGTTATGTATCCTCTCAGCTTTCAATTTCTCTCTTGCCAATGCTTTTTCCAGAACTCATATGTTCTGATAAGCTGAGAATTCATTTCTGTTTTCTCATTGCCTTTGTGACTCTCCTTTACCCCACTAGTTATTCAGAGTTTGTTGTTTAATTTCTAGATACTGAAAAATTTTGCCTACACTTTCTAGTTTTGTTCCACTGTGGAAAGGGAAGGCATTTTCTGTGACACCGGTTGGGGTGGATACAGATGAACTTATAGCTGATCATGAGATCCTCCAGACCACTCAAGTGCCTGCATTTGGGTTAAGTGTTTGTTCCACGGAAGCCTGTGATGTCATGTGGGGTTACAGCATTGTTCAAAGTCTGCTATTATTTGCTTACTATCTCCCTGGTCATCCTATACATGACTAGAAATTAGCTCCTGTATTAGACACTTTCTTAATGCTGTAATGAAACACCTAACAAATGCAGCCTAACAAGGGAAATCTCTATTTTTGGCTCACAGTTCAAAGGTGCAGTCCATCATCTGAAGAAGGACAGTTAAACAGATGTAGCCACAGTGGCAGAAGAAGGCCTCACTATGTCCACAGTCAGGAGCAGAGAGAAATGAATGCTGATGTTCTGTTCACTTTTTCTCTTTCTTATTTAGCCGAGGATCCAAGGCCATTGGATGTTGCTTTCCATGTTACAGACAGATCTTCTGACCTCTCAACCAAATGCCCCTGGAAACACCCTCATAGACACACCCAGATGGAAGTTTCCATGGTGATTCTGAGTCTAGCTGAGTTGACAAAGATTAACCACCACAGCTCCATCCCATGTAAACTTGGTACCTGAACACATCACTTTAAATCATAACGACTTGTCCCTGGTCTCGAAAGTTCTATTTTCATTTCATAATGCAAAATGCATTTGATCCATCTTTCCAGGTCCCTACAGTCTTTAACAGTCCCAACACTGTTAAAATATACAGTGTCTACTCTCAGACTCAAGGCAATCTCTGAAACATCACCCCTATGAAATTAAAAAAAAAAAAAAAAGGTGTACACTTCCGATATACAATGGCACAGAATAAGCATTCCTGTTACTAAAGAGAATGATGAGGGTATATCGAAAACAGATTGGATCAAAGTAAGACCCATACCAGCCAGACAACAGCAAACCCTATAACTTCACATTCAGCATCTAGGGTTTGTGATGAGATAGTATCAGACTGGCTTCACCCTGGGCCTGAACTTTCTTTGGCAAACATTCATGTCCCCGAAGTCTTCAACAACCTGTGGTCTCCACTGCAACTCGGGTTTCACCTTTGCCACTTCATGGGATGGCCTTCCGCGGCTTTTCTTCAGAGAATCTGGCCACGCCACACAATCTTTTAGGAAGCTTGGCACAACCTCTGTTGTGCATCTAAATTGTGCTTTTAAAGCCAGTACCATGCAGAGGCTGCTGTGTAGTTCTGCTACCTGAGATGCAGTCTGGCCCCTCTGAGCCACAACTGCAGTGGCCTCTGTGGGCTGACCTCGGGGAAACACTTCCCTAAGCTTGTGAGCAGGGACCTCTGCTCTAAGCTCAGACTGTGAAGTGATTTTTTATGTTCACAAGTTGTAGCTCTCTATGAGCAGGGTCTTGCCCTTCAGGCAACTTTCCCACTGGCCCAGTGTAGACAGGAGGTTTCTCTTTAATGGCACTAACCTCTTTTTAAACTACAGCTGCTTTTCTTGAACCTGCTATGTCCACTGCTTTAAACTTAAACACCTTTCCTAGGCAAAGTTTCATCTTTTCTCATATCTTTCTGTTCCTTCTCACTGTGGATTTAAACAAGGGCAGTGGTCAGTAGCTATGCCTCAGCCTGGATGCTAACCAGAGTTGAAGGTTCTTCCACCAAACATATTATTCCACTTAACATCAGACAAAGTTCTCAGGACAGGAGACTAGTGCCGCTGTATGCCTCCCCATAATATAACACAAGCAGATTTCACCCCACTCTTAATAGCCTCACTACTTCTGGCTTTATTTCTAAGTTACATTCCCTCTTTCTCTTTTTCTTTCTATCTCTCTGTTTCTGCTTTTTTCTCTCTCCCTCTCTCTCTTTCTCTCTCTCTCTCTTTCTGCATGTTTGTGTGTGTGTATGTGTTTACAGAACATGTGTGACTCTCAGATGACAACTTTCAGGCATCATTTCTATCTTTCTGTCTTGTTGTT